AGGTAGCAATGGCTGAGAAGAATTTGGAAGGGGAGATGAAGTAGCGATAGGGCTAATGAGCTGAAGATGAGCTGAGGCTGATGATACCAAAAACTCAACCGAAAAAAAGAAAAGCGTTGAAGCCAAACGAATGATTCCTTTTATGACCATGTCAGTTCAGCGTTCTGAAGTCTGGAAGTGATGGTGGAAATCTTTTCAGCATTCTTGTTGCAGAATGATCACCCCGGCTCTCCCTTTCGGAGCAGGTGGAAGGAAATAACCTTCTTATCCTAAGCAACAATGTATCTCGAGCAACGTTTCACCTCTGTTAGGCCATACACCCTCTTCTGCAACATGGACTTTAATGGTGATTGACTTCCTTAAGGACGTTTGTCTGCAAGACACCATAAATGAAGTAAACAAAGAGGAAAAACATAGCAGGTAAAAGAAAGCGCAATCGAAGCGTAAAGAGAACGAATAGCGATAGGAGCGGTTAGTGGCCAACGATCAAACAACCGAAGCGTTTTGAAAGAGAATACCTATACTGTAATGCCTTTCTTCATCCTTTTCAACCCTTCTTCTGTACTGTTGGTCCGATTTGTCTGGACTGTACCTTAGAATACCCTTTGGACATGATCTCATTTCAACGAAACGGCTAATCTTGGATGTTAATCCATCGGTTTTCCCCATATTCATTCCGATAAACCCAAGTCAAAGAGGATCTTTCGAAGAGAGAAGGTAATGAGGAGGGAGAATCGGAATCCTGAGTCCAACCCCTGTTTCACCTCGCCCCTTCCTGAGTGAGCGGTGTCGCCACCGTAGGTATCGGTAAATTTCAAGAAACACGAAAAGTATGAAATCGGGAGTAAAGGCAAAGGTTCACTTTCGTTGAAAGTGATTTCGGAAGATTCTGAAGGGGCGTAGGCAGTTCAAGATGGAGTGTTGAGGAAATCAGGGAGTTATAGGGAATCGGAACGCTGAACAAATACTGAAAACACAGCATCCAAGCTCAAGCAGTCAGCCAACTTATGCGGAAAAAAATTAAAAAAAGCCAAGCAGTGATATACAGTAAGCATCAGTTTCATTCCATTATCAATCAAAATCACAAAAGAAAACGTTTTTTGCAAACCTGTTAAACAGTGACAGATCCTCTATGCTTCGCGATCTAAAATGCAAAATGATTTCAAAAGGTTTTTGGTGATTCTTTTTTGGTGAAATTGCCTCGCATTCGAGTATGGACTCGTCAGCGACATTCAGTTATAGGTGGGTGTGGATGCGTGTGTAAAAAAAGTGCTTGAATCGGACAAGATCATCAGACGACGTGCAGAAACCGAAAAGGAGTGCCATAGAGTGTGATAGACCAAATTGTGTGACCATTATGTAAGCCTAGGATGGCTGGCTGGCAATTCGATCGACGGCAGTTTCTAATTTTAAAAAAAAATTTGGACATTTTTTTAAACTAATTTTTGACTGCCATGAATCGAGGGTGAAAAATGAAAAAGAAGACAGGAAAAAATTTTAAAAAAATAGGATAAAATAAGTGGAACAGCGACAACCAAGACGACAGTTAAGTGAATGGCAAATAGGCAGGCTGGCCGGCCGTTATAACCTACCGTTTCGATTTGTTGGTGCTGCTGAAAACAGATGAATCTCGAGCCAAGCTCATAAAACGAAAATATTACGGATCGATGAAAATAAAAAATAAACAAACTAAAATGGGGTAAATCGCAAACTAACATAGGATCATAAAGCGAAAATCTTGGGGTTTTCAAAAAATTAGAAAAAAAAATCGAACTAAAACCGGTGAATTAACGAAAAAATCTGATAAAATAGGAGAAATGGACAATATATGAGGAAATCAAAATTCAGCTGAACAAAGAGCAAATTTCACACCATTGAGGAATGGGACCTTTCGAACATGGGAATGAGAACAAAGCCTTTGAATGGGAGAGAAATAAATTAGACGAAATCCGGAAATCATGGCGCAGACAGACGCACATTCATCTTACCAAGTCAAAGACCTAAAGTCTGAAGGAAAATCATAAGGGGTAAGTTACCGACCGTGATTTGTCTTTCCGCTTTCCAACAGCTTGTCCACGGGGTGTTACGGGCACTGATTCCAAATTGGAAATCAATAAATTGATTGACTGCCGAACTTCATCCATAAACAATGTCTCCATGTCTTTTACGACAAATTTCGGCATGATCTTTCGCATCTGAAATGGCATTTATGATGCAAGATAGAGCTATAATTTTTTTCTCAGCTTGTTTATTTCAAAACAACTTTTAAAAATCATTTTTACTCCTCTAGTTGCTTTTGTTAATGACTTCGAGTAACTCGGAAATTTTCCGTTTTGATAGCAGAATCATTTAATTATCCTAGTGATCATCCATGTTTCACCCTTAAATTACAATTTTTAACTTTTTTCAATTTCGCAGAATATTTTAATAATTTTCTAGAC